GACATTTGGTGTTTTTATTTATATAAAGCTTAAATATAATGACTTCAGACTGATAAAGGAAGATAACCGATAACTTAAATGCTTCATGAAATGTTCCTTTCATTAGATACAAATATAATGAAATGTTACCATCAGTAAGTGTGAAATGTATTTATTTATTTAAAGGGGTCATATGATGCTGCTAAAAAGAACATTATTTGGTGTATTTGGTGTAATGAAATGTCGTTACGCCCCTCACATACTGTGATGCCCTGTCCGGCTGGAGCGATGAGACAAAACCAATAAAATCCATTATAAACAAGGCATTTGTTGCATCCAGTGGGGACATAATTATGGATTATAATGACTTATTCTGTCCTTTTAAGCGTAGCGTTGCATCGCGCCGCGTAAACATAAAACCATGTCTGCATTTGTGATCGGAGAAATGACAAACTACAAGCGCTACTCTACACTGCTCAAAACTCGCGTTTGAATCGTCAGTGGCAAATCCTTTAAATATAAAAACGTACTTACAGGCTGTGAGTCAGCATTATTTGTCAGAACACCGGCATTGTAGGGTACTCTCCCAGGAAATAGTCCTTGTCAAAATGCAAGTCCGTAAAATGCGTTGAACACATCTGAATATTTTGGGTTGAAGTGTTCTGGAACAGTGTTGTAAATACAACTTAACCACTGATTTCTAGTAGTGCCCTCTTTTGGAAGACCAAACAAAGTAGTTTCGCTTTCACAGCGTCTTCACAACATGGCAGTGGCAGCAACAATAAAGTTACGCCTCCTTTCTTTGCGTGAACGTTTGGGCGGCGTTATGCAAATCTTCCCACATCGTGACGTAGACATGTGGGGGCGTGTTTAAATGAGGCATTTTAGGAGGGCATGGACGAGTCTTAACTTTTATAAAGAATATATTTTTGGATTTGGGACTTTAGTCTTTGCAACTTTAGGGATCTTATCCATTTAAGGATCAGCTTGTAACACTCCAAAGAGAAAGGAAAACTTGAAATCGCGTCATATGACCCCTTTAATGTGAAAAAAAATACTCTTCAGGAAAATACTTAATTGTTTGGCAAATGGGCAAAAATAGAAAAGAAAAAATATCGATGTCGATGTTGTATAACAAAGTTTTATTGGTTATACCATTTTTATTTATTTGATTATTTACTTATGTGAATTAAAATACATCTTGTCATGTAATATAGTAAACTAAATTATATATAAGATGAAATAATTAAATACATTGTGAAGTGTTCCTATCATTAAACACAAAATACAATCAATTGTGACCAGAAACAAGGTGTGACATTAACATTTTATTTATTTGTGAAATAAAATGCACCTTGTAATGTAATATAATAGACTAAATTAAATATATGACAAAGTAATTAAATACATGGTGAAGTGTTTCTATCATTAATTCCACACCTTATTTATGGTCACATTTTACTGTATTTTAAATAAATAAATTATTTAAAGATAAATTAAATTTTCTATTTTTATTTTATGTGAAGTAAAATACACTTTATAATGTAATAGACAAATTAAATACATGAAATAACTACATTGTAGAGTGTTAAAATAAAATAAAAATACAATAAAATGTAGAATTAATTAAATTTAATTAACATTATTTACATAAAATGCATTTTATTTATTTGAAATAAAATACACCTAATTTAATATAGTAGACTAAATGAAATATATGAAAAAATAATTAAATACATTATTGAGTGTTCCTGTTATTAAATAGAAATATAGTGTGAAATTAATTGCATTTAATTAAAATAGAGTTAAAATTTATTTATTTAATGTTAAATAAAATACATATTAAATACAAAAAAATGAAATTGTGAAATTAATAAAATAGAATTAAAAGTTTATGTAATAAAATACACCTCCCAATGTATATAGTATATATGTAATATTTATTTAGTCATTTATTAGATAATATAATATAATAATAATAATAATGACTAATAAATCAGTGATGAAATAAATACATTGTGAAGCGTTGCGACTGATAAATAAAAATGCAATGAAATGAAATTGTCTTTCACTAAGAAATAAACTGATACCAACAGTCCTCACAGTAATTCATAATTCAGTGATTATGTGAAGTTCAAGAATTGTGAAACTTTGTTAGTAAAGCCATTCCCAGTAGTACTGTGGTTTATTAAACCAGTCCCGTTCATCTGTGTGTGTGTGTGTGTGTGTGTGTGTGTCGTCAGGAGGAGCTGCTGAAGAGTGAGATCAGTCGTCTGAGGACTCGTCTGTCTCAGCAGGAGCGGATGCTGAGCGGAGCCGTCAAACGCCTCAGATCCAGCAACCAGCTCAAAGAAGGCATGGAGCGCGTCATCATCGACCAGCGTAAGAGAGCAGCACACACACACACACACACATGCTCATCTCGAGTCATCAAACACTGATGTGTGTGTCGTGTGTTTCTGCAGTGTCTCTGACTCACGGCGTGCTGAAGAGAGCCAGAGGAAACCTGGAGGTGTGAATATTTCACAATATTGCTGTTTTTACTGTATTTGTGATCAAATAAATGCAGTCTTGGTGAGCAGAAGAGACATCTTTCAAATATATTTTAAAAATTGTAATATATGAAATAAATAAATAAATAGTAGTAATAATTTGTGATGCAACTGAATGACATTAAATAATAAAATGCTTGGAAACATTTTTGGACCCAAAGTATTCGAGGAGAGTTTGATGGTGAATCCTGTGATAAACTTTTTTTTTTTTTTTTTTTAAGTTTCCGCCAAAATCAGTATTGTATCTGGATGGTATTGAAAAGTAAATTTTTTATTTTACATAAAATGCGAAATCCGCCTTGTTATTCTGTCATGTTTTCTCCCTCTTTTTCCAAACCGCGACAAATGCCAGTCTCCCTTCTCTGCAGAATGCGATATATCCGCTCAACCAATCACAGC